AATTAATTTTTGGTACGGGAAGTTCAAGCAATTGAACGGGAAGCACTAGTATTGAAATTTATTTCAATCTATGTCGAGATCAATTATTGAAATTGCCTTAAACTTTAATTTTGAAAAATTTTAAATCTTTGAAAAAAATGACTTTTTTGGAAAAAAAGATTTTTTGAAAAAAAAAATTATATTTCGAAATATTTTGGAAATTTTGAAGAGCATTGTTGTCATTTCTTTTATTTATGACTCTGTTATTAAACAATTTGAAGCTTAAACTGTTTAATAACAGATAAGAGTCATAAATAAATGAAAAGACAACAATGCTCTTGCTAAAGACCTCAAAATATTCCTCGACTATGCTTAATAGTTCAAAGCTGATTTATAGCTTAACAATTTTATTAGCCTCAAATTAAATCTTACTATCCCTTAATCCATAATATTAAATTTATTATAGATTTTAATTCTTACATTAATTCCACAAGCATACGTTCTAATTCAAGCGATTTAATGTTTCAATTATTAATAGCCTAGATTCAACCATTGAGTTATAGTGCAGTGCAGTAACTAATACTATTTAATTAGTATGAAGTGGAATAGCATTTAGTCATAACATATGAATCCATCTCTTATCTATCAATCAATATCACTATCGATGCATTCTTAAGTGTTTTGATTGCCGACGACAAAAAATCCAATGTCGAATAGTTTGATAATTCGCATATGATACGACGCAAGTGTAAAAATAATAAGGTAATACAACGACGTGCGATGTGCGGCGTACTTGAACTCAAGTATTTGTGGCTTATTAGAAAGGAGATGTTTATTTTATTTGTTCGACCTTGAGATTTATTTTGTGAGTTAAATAACACGAAGCCAAACGCATTAGGAGATATTTAAAATTCAAGATATGTTCTGTTATCTACCGGAAAATAAGTGAATTATTGAATATTTTACCTATACCTATTTAGTGTCCATGTTAAGATAAATAAAATGTAGAGATGAATACATTTCTATTTCTATTCCTACTCGGAGACATCATGGGGCTTCGTCATCTTTCTCATATTTTCGACGACCATTCAAGTGTTTTTTGTTCACACATTAAGTTCGGTCATTTCAAGAAAAAATCTTGGAACCTTTAGTATTACAAACTTATTGATCGTGCCGCATCGTTAAGCAAACATGTCTACACACACACACACACACACATATATATATATACATATTTATATACATATATATATATATATATATATATATATATATATATAATGTGTCAAACTCTTCAGGTCAATACAACAAATAAAAATTGTAGAAATTCATAACTTTGTCATTGGAAGCGGACAGCTTGCTACTCTTTGCCTAACATTACGAAATTTAACGTGATTTTTTTTTTATTTGAGCTGACAACAAATAGAGTAGTCAATGGTGTTATTGTAAATTCCTATTGTTATCAATAGTTAATAAGGATCATTACAATTTACATTTCACTGAATATAAGTAGAAACATATGGAAAGAATAAAATTTTTATACAATTCTACAATTTTTATTTGATGTATTTCCTGAAGATTTTGACTCACACATTACAATATAAATTATAAAATGTGTTAATAATAGAATAAAAAACAAACTAATATTGTATTGCACCATGTCTTATGCCTTAAGGCAATTTTTTTTTAATAATTTTTTTTAAAAGTAATTGTTTTGTCAACACAAGCCAAAAAACGGCAATTTTTTGTTTATTTTGCTCTGTATCTTTGAAATGGCTGGTCCTGCCTTTGCCAAAAACTAATCACCACTTCTCCCAAACATTACGAATCGAATGGTTTTTGAATCATTGGAATCTGTTGATCCGTTCTCTTAAAACCTGACATTTTTAGCACTTTTTGCATCATACCTCCGAAGCCGCTGGACATGTCTTCGTCAAAAACTAATCAGCACGTCTCCACACTACACACACACACATCCATTTTCTCTGAGGTATGCCAAAATGCTCAGAAACCTCTGAAACGTGAAAATATGCAAAATATTTTCGATTTTTGATCCATCACTATAACTTACCCTACGGAAAGTTAAAAAATTAAACAAAAACATTCGCTCACCTTTTTAAAAGTCTGAAATTGAAAATTAATTGCGTATTCATACTAATATGGACATGGATAATAATTTTATTAATTGATATGGTATTTTAATTAATCCATTTAAAACGTGCGATATTATAATCAATAGCGCAGCTTTAAAAATTACAACTTCTATACATTGCTATGAGATTTATTTTTCTCATACGGTATGTTATATTTCATCATTATATGCTTTTAATTACCATTGAAATCATAATTGCCGTTTCCGAGTGGGATTTTATGATATATAATGTTTTTATATAACTTGACAAAGAACAATAAAAATCCACTCCAGAAATACAAGTCCAATTATGGCAGAAAATATATTTTTACTCCAATAACGAAACTCCAATAACGAAACTAATTAAAAAGCAATTACATCAGATGACAAATTATTTGTGTAAGGCTATTGACCGAAGACATGTCAATCATAATATAAAAAAGTCCTTTACAGAAAAACACATAGTCACTGGCGGTGATCAATACAGTTGCATTAACCTACTTTTTGATCAAGACAAAAATATTTTCCATCGAATGGCATTAGGAATCATCAAAACGTCAATTTAACAAAAGCATGTCAACATATTATCAAATCGATAGAGGCAAATACTGACAAATGTTTTGAAAAATTCCATTTCATATTTATTGTAATATTCAATGAACTTGGATAGACTGTACAATTTTTTGTTAATCTATTGTAAAATGCGGCTGTCAATTTTTCATATTTATTCCAGGCACGTGCTGAAAGGTAACATCCACTTCAACTAGATGTAAATGCGGGTTATTGAATAGTTTTGAACACAAGAATTCAATAAAATGCATTCATTTCACCATCTTCATTTTGATGTGAGAGCAAGAATATTTTGACTAGTATATGTACGATTAAATTATGTTAATCAACTTTAACTTTCCGTAAAAATCTAAAATGAATTTGTTTTCATACCTTCACGTTTCAGAGGTTTCTGAACATTTTGGCATACCTTAGAAAAAATTGATGTGTGTGTGTGTTTTGTGTGTCCGCATTATTTGGTCCACTTTTGGGACGCACGGATCAACCGATTTGAATGGTTCAATAAACATTCGATTCCTATTGATGGGGAGATGTGCTGATTAGGTTTTGGCAAAGACAGGTTCAACCGCTTTGGGGTACGGAGCAAAAAGTGCAGAAAATAGAAATCGAGTTTTTGAGAGAACTGAGTATCCTATTTGAATGATACAAAGAACATACAATTTGTAATTATTAGGAGAAGTTGTGATCAGTTTTTGTTAAAGGCAGGGCCAGCCATTTCGATGATACAGAGCTAAATGTACAAAAAATGGCAGTTTTTGAGAGAACTAGGCATCCGGTTTGAATGATTGAAGAAACTTGCATGTGTTGACAAAACAATAGCTTTTGGAAAAAAAGAATTTTTTTTTCAAAAAAAATTGTTTTTGTTTATCAAAAATTATTCAGACTTCAATTTTAATTCTGGCTGAAGTTTTAAATCCACTTATATACTTTAAATAAATAATTTTAACTTTGTAATTCAGTTTATATAATTCTTATAATTATTAGACAATGTTACAGTATTTACAATAATTTACTTGGAAACATTTAATATTCCTCGAACATTTCGTTACGGTACAGGAAGTTCCAGCAATTTGCCTCAAGACATCATGCCATACACCACTAGTTTACTATCCAATCTAAAAATCAAAATTAATCGCGTTCAGTATTTTGTATATAATTAATGCCACTACAAATAAATAAAACAATAACAATGTGCAGATAAGTATAAAAATGAATGCTTACTTTAAAATTTATATTTATATTGATTAATGATTTTCCTTTATATTTATTATTTTCCTCATATTGACTCACAGTGTATCTATATTTATACATCGGTAATATTTCCATTCCCAATTGTTATTGAGAAAACAATAATATCTAATAAAACTGACCAACGTAGTCAATAACATATTGTGCGCCGTGGGAATGGAATTGTTGTGGCGCCTTCTGACAGAGTAACAAGCCCGCAAGCCCTTTACGCCACTCGTGTACTACGATGGACGACCCATCTAATTCCATTTAACGTGGAAAGGGTCATTAGTGATCCCTTGCTTGCTCGGACCCAATATTAATTGGCCGAAATGATTAAGTGCAACTATATTACATTGCAAAACTTCGAAATAACAATTAAAGGATTACTTGGACGGTATCGTAGCATTTGAAACAACGATCGAATTTGGATTAAAAATTGTTGTTATATTATTGCTGGTAACGTCTGTTGGTTATCAGAACTCAAGCCAAGCCAAGATGAGCTAATAGTATTGAATGTAATTAATTGTCTTTAAGAAATTTAGAAAAAGAATATCTAATGTTATTTGGAAATGATGAGCTTCTAAGTGCAACCTAGAGCTTTGGTAAAATTGTAAACATTTTTGGTCATTGTGGCTAATTTTTATTACTTTTGTTTATTGTAACATGATAAAATACTTGATAGTTTCACAATAAAAAAAGAGTGCACATAAGGTTCACACGCTATTGATGTAATTTTTTTTGCTATTGTACGAGTTGATATTTAAGTTAAAAATAAATACATCATATAACAATTTTGAATAATGCTTATTAGTAATATGGTAACATTCGTGATGCACACATTTATTAATGTCAGCCATTAGACGTTTTTATAATATTTATATATTTATAATAGCATTAAAAATATTTATAATATTAAAGTCATACTTCAAATATGACATGATCGGTTTGTCATTGTAATTAGCATTTAGAACTAGAACCTTCATTAGGCAAATAAAGTAATTGCAGCTTAATAAATTCTATAATATTCGTTCACACAGTAGATTATGGTAAACAACGTCTAAAGCAATATTGTTTTCACAATTTCACTCACCTTAACACACATTCATTGACCGCTTGTATTTTTTTTACTTGTTCGCTGTCGATACAGTCTCATTTTTTGAGATATCTTCTTACCTATAAAAAATATTCTCCATTTTAATACCTTCAAAAATTTATAGAAACTACAAATAATATAGAAATTATTTCAATAAACTTAAGTTTCTTACGCGACACAAATGCTGCATTTGTTTTATTATTTTCATTATAATTATTTACGGTTGACAGGGTAAAATATTCTCCTGATTCAGGCATTTTTTATTAAATCAACCTTAAAAGTAGTTTTAGGTAAACCTTAAAATCTAATGACATTCTGATTTCCTCGTTCACTCGACACGACGACTAATCACAATCAACCCGTATAGAAATGATTTCACCGCAAGCGAGTGGCAAACAGTTCGAGCGTAACGCAACTTCCGTTGCATTTTCACGAATTCACTCTACAATTGCGCCTAAAGGAGTTTTACGTCTAAAATTGAGTAAAAAACAACGTGCTTTTTGTTAGTGTATATTACAATTTTGAGTTTTGTAAATTCATAGTTCAACAAAAAGTTTAAATTCTCAATTGGGTCAATTATGTCAATAATTCTGTCTGTGGTACTAGAAATGTCATGCACGTTTACAGTTCCAAAGTTTGAATAAACAAAAGTAATATAAATTAAACCACAAAATCCGAAAAATGGTCAAGTGTACTATGTCGATTCGGTTTGACATAGAGTTCTGAGATATAAACCATACTTCTTGTGTTGAACTTTTATTATATTCTTTAGAAAATGGCATAATTACAAAACTACCTATTTTGTATTGAATCAATACGGCTCTTTGATTAATTTACAAAGAACGGATTAGGGATTACTTGATGGCTATGTTAAATGTTTGTATGTATACCCAACAAACTTGGTACTTTGTAAGTTATTAGTTAATTCCAGATTTGCGTCGGACGTTGATGTATCTCTGTACGGATACCCGGATAAGATTCTAGACACGTTTCTGTACGTGATAGGTATAACTGCATTATTATATAGGAATTGATGTTGTTGTAATAGATAAATCAAATAATTTTCTGGAAATGTACTATATAGTTTGAATCATATTAATCAGTTGGGTGTCACAAATATTAAAAAAAAAGATAACTGCAAAAATATCTAAAATATTAATCGAAATATTCGTTACTTCTACATATTTTTGATAGTTTAATCTTCATCTTCAAGATCTCTCCCAAGATCAGGTGATGGCCTACGTATAGACGAAAAGAAAATACCATCGCATATCTCATAAATAATTTTATCAGTCATTTCTCCTGACGTCATAAGCTTATTTTAATGCACTGTGAATAATTTTATATATCACGGACGGCGATGTCTTCTGTTGAACATACTCAATCAAATGTGAATATACATTTTTTGTAGCCAGAGGGCTCACAGAGAAGCTCTCGGTGTGATATACGAGAGCTCGAGAATCGAAAGCTGTAAGTTTTTTATCAAAGCTCTCGGGCGCCGCCGCGCGGAGGCGTTTGTATTCACACTTCGCGTGACAGTACTCTTCGTAGAGAAGGAATAACAAAAATTTAATTACATGCGCACGTTTGAAAATTAATATAAAATAAAAAGCGAGGAAATTGCACAAAGAAAATCTTTTACGTAACACTTTGATGTATTGCATTGCATTTCCTAGCATTTTATGTTTTAATAAAAAGAAAGGTTTTTGTTTATACGTTGTTTAGTACATATAAACGTTTATTGTGGCTGTTACTATGAGTTAAATCAAAAGAACTAAAAGTACATACTTTGAATATTTAGTTGAACATTTTTGTTATGATTTTAGAATTAGAAATTTACAATTAGAATCTCGAATTGATAATAGCAAGAAAATTTGAGGTATATAATTTGCACCTAACACTACTCAAACTTTAGTGATATTTTTTTAAATATTTTTTATCGAGAATACACAATAATCGATCACACATGGTATATATATATATACATATATATATATATATATATATATATATATATATATATATATATATATGTACTAGGTGACCCGACAGGCGTTGTCCTGTACCCACGTCTAGAATTTAAGTTCCAATTTTTTAATATCCTATCCCTACACTTTTTAATATTCTATTTAATGTCCTTCCATTTATAGTCTTAGCATAAGCTTTATATAATATTCGTTTTGGAAACTGCAGTTTTGTAAAAAATTCAGAAAAAATACTTATAGTATCTACAATAGTAAAAGAACAATATCACCTTTGTTATTTCCAACCAATATAATTGCTTCAATAATTTATATAATATATAATTTTCTAAATTTCTTACTAATAATTTAATAAATATTATTACTTTAGTAAAAATCTAAGGTGAAATAATTTGTAAAATCGGGTTCATATGGCACTGTTCAATCTAGGATCATGAACTTGCTAAATTATTCATATCCAATGCCCAACAAATGAATTTTTGACACATGGATTCTAAATCCTTAAATTCTTATATTGTTTTAATTTCTGGCACATCTCAACTGGTTTTCGGCAATAATATTGTAGATATTACATTTTTCTTATTTATAAACATAAATATGGATATTATATACTAATATTGTCTAGACTCGCCTAAACTAAATTCAAATTTCAAGTGAATCGACATTTTTGGCAGATGATAGTTTTCATGTATCTAAATGTTTTCAATGTGAAATAATGATATGTTGTTTTTTGCATGTTTTTCCATTTATTTCTATAATATTACTATAGTTTTATAATTCTCCATGTCTTGAAAATTTCCCTCGACAAACTCTAAAAATTTATTAAATTCTAAGATTTATTAAAATGCGAATAACCGTTTAGGAGGATTATCAATTCAAACATCATTGCAGAAGAATTTAATTTATAAGTGTGTGTGTATGTTTCCCTACAAATATCTATTTGTAATATCGTAATATGTCTATAAAATAAACTTTTAATAAAATTGTATAAATAAGCTGTACACTCGAGTTATAACTCTTATTAATATCGAGAGAAGTCATGTCTGAGTATTTCTCAGATTAGATAAACTCTTATCACTACAAAGAAAGATGCGGGCCCAAAGAAGAAGGCGCTTTCTCATCTCACTTGCAACTTTATGATGCTATGGATATAAATGACCCAAAATAATTAAATTTTTCATAAAATATAAAAATACAACCGCAAAAATAAAGAACAATGAAATGGTCTTATAGTAATCAATTCAAATGCATAATTTATTTGATAGTAATGGCTCATATTCTAAATGACTGCAATCAGGAATATACACGCCGAAATCCAGAGATTTTTGTTTAAATAAGTATAATACCGTATTCTCTCACTAAACTTGTGAGCGTCAGTGAATTCAACATAAGAAAAATAGTAATAAAATGTAAAACCAATACTATCTGGAATAATTTCTCCTTAAAAGATGATAATGTAAAATGCAATTATTATGCGGAATTTAACTACTTCTTCTTCAAATACTAGAAATTGAATAAGTTTAAGAAAACACGTGGTCGAAGTCATCAGGGTTAAGCGTATAAAACTTTTTACTGACTATAGTCATGATAACCTAGCCGACAAGACTTCGGATTTGTTAATCCCAAACTAGTACAAACCGAGGCACCAAACTAATTACTTCGTACATAGACAATTGTATTTGTATAAACATGTATCTATGAACATGAACTAGTATCGTTGGTGCTGAAAAATGTAGATGCTCAAACAAATGACTTATTCATGAGTTTTGTTGAATTTCTCTACTCAAAACTATTCAACGGTCCGCCTGTAGCCGCATTTACATCGACTTGAAGTGGTTTTCCGCACGTGTTGTGTGCGAGCGATCGTAGCACAGTATCAGCCCGGCTATGCTACGTCGGCTACGCTGATACAAGCTCTCAGGAGCTTTTTGAACGCGAGTTTGAATTACTTCGCGTAGCAGTATCGCTTGCTTAGCTACCGGAATTTTCGCCCTAATATATGAGCAAATTGGCTAAAGTTATCCTAAAAGGAATTGACGCGTTCCACATTTTGGTCTCATGATGGTTTGTGAAAAGCGGTTTATTAATTTAAGTGTCTTATGAAACAGGACAATGTAGGGAATTTTTTTTTTTTGAATTTATTATAGCAATCTTTATAAGATACTAGTTGGTATTGGCATTTTGTCTTGAGACAGGTTACATAAATTAATTTATGAGTCATTAAAAGTATTCCTAGTGGATTTATTACACTAACTGAATAAAATGAACACGTTAACTCGGAGTATTTTCTAAAAGCAAATTTTCAAAAATCAACAATTTTTAGAATTGAACCAGTTTCCGTAGGACTTTAGTCTTTTAGTATGTTCATTAAGACCAAGTACTGTATCGTTATACACTATTTTCCAAATTACAAAGAAACGGCTCGGCCGATCGCCGCACAGAACTGAGAAACGATAATCCTCATCGAGATACATCAAATAGCGTTTTTGAGCAACGTCGATGAAAGGTCTAATTTTGACAAATGCCAAAAAAACGATACTAATTTTGGCAAGCTTTGAGGAGTTTTTAAAATTAAACCACTTGTCGTAGGGTCGTAAAATTTTAGTATGATCTATAAAACTATGTATATGGAATATACAATCAAAAAAATAATCATAATCATATCGTCGAATTTTTTTTAAACACTTTATTACAAGAAAACGGCCCGGCCGATCTCTACCAACAACTGGTCAGCACGATTCCCAACCAATATCTTTCGAACGGTTTTTGAATCTTCCAAATCGGTCAAATGCGGTCTAAAACGTGGACGAAAACCTTTCACTTTTCTGCTATTTATAAAGAAACTGCTTGGCCGATCGTCGCTCAAAACTGATAAACGCTAGTCCTCATCGAGATGCATCGAATGGCTTTTAGATTTTTGCAATCGGTCCAGCCGTTTTTGAAAAAACGTCGTTTTACGGTAAAAAATCTGTTCACACACACACGCACACACGTATACTTTTTCCAAATTTGAACTCATTCGATTCAGAATGGCTTGAAACGTCAAGAAAACATAAAATTAGCCAATCGGCCTTTTTGATGAAAACATAAACTTCTCC